GTATAAGGTAACAATTGTGGTGAATTTAAACTGAATTAAAAAGACATGTATTTTTCGACGTTTGTTAAGAAAGAAACCTGTCAGGAAAATGAATGAATGAATAACTTGTGTATCTATTTTAAAAGTAAAAAGTTTCTTAACCAGGTTTATAATGAATGTATATATATATATATATATATATATATATATATATATATATATATATATATATATATATATATATATATATATATATATATATTACACATAAACATACATACAATGGTGGTTACAATACAAATACTATCAAGAAAATTTTTCCTCTATAAAAAATATTAATTTTAATCGCTACAAAATAAATAATATCGAAAACGGGTTAGGTATATAACTAAAACAAATAAATGCAAGAAGTACGTTTTTCAAGACAGTTTTTCCACGTACAATCACGCTACGGAATCAACTCCCAGTACCTAGTAGTAGTGTTTTTGAACCTATACGACATTATAGCCTTCTAGATAGAAGCATATTTTTTTTTAAAGGCCGGCAGCACATCTGCAATTCTGTTAATGTTGCAGGTGCACATGGGTAGCGGTAGTTACTTATCATCAAGCAGCATGGTCCTTTGCCCCCCGTGTTATATGAAAAAAAAAATTAACTATTCTAAACTGCGAAACTTCGTCTTTTTAGATCTAGTAATTTTATTTGAGCATTTTTCAATCATTCATATTCTAATCTCTGTTACTATAATATGATAAAAAATGTATATTTGTACTTAGGTATATTTAAACAGTGTGTTTAGTTTTAGTATAAAAATAAGAAATATTCAAAAAGAAGGTAAAACAATTTTATTAAGTTATTTCGCGAAAAGTGATAGTAAATATGGTTTCTGGATAAAAAAAAAAGAACGAGACAAGATAATTAAGAAATTAGTAAAATATGTTTTAATTAAACATATTTTAACTCTATAGATAGTTAAGATATTACAGAACCTACCTGTCCCATTTGTGTTTCTACCGTGAAGTAGTTGTGTTTGCATGGCTGTGTTTCGGTTTGAAGGGTGGGATATGGCAGTGAATTTACAGGGTACAGAGGAATAACACCTGAGTCCTCAGGAATGGCAACGCATGGGGGAGGGGTATCATGGGCGAAACAGTGTTATGTCCATAGTACTGGTCATGTCTATAGGCGACGGTTACCATTTTCCATCAGGTGAGTCGTCAGCATATTTGCCATTCTATTGCATAAAGAAAAAGCTAACCTGGAGGAAAGGGATTGTTAGTAATGCAGATTACCAGTCCCATTGCTAGCATTATTTCCTGGAAACCATCATGCTAAATTTTCGGTGTATTTTTCACGATGAACTAATCGACTTGCATTTTCATCTAAACATTCACTGGTGCCCCGCCAGCATATACCGTTATGTGGTTATATTATTTATTTTATTAGGTATTCCTATTAAAGTAAATAGAATACAAAGGTGGTTTATTAAGTTATCATTATGCTTTCCATCAGATGGGCCGTCAGCTTGTTTGCCATTCTAAGTTGTATAAAAAAAAATGCTACTATAATGTAGTTAATTTTTAACAACACTATAGTCATGTTCATGTTCATGTCTTAACACATATAGTTAGGTAATATATAATAATAAAACAAAGAATTAACATTACATAAGTTAAAATTAAAGTTATTAATGAGATTCAAGGTTCATCATTTCATCCGTTAATTGTGCATCGCTGAACATTAGACATTCTCATAAGGGGAGTTTTGCCGGTAGTTGCTACACTTGGCAGGCGGTTGTCAATCCGCTTGCCGAGAGTGGTAACTACTAATAGCAAAGAAATTCAAGATTATTCTGCCATAGTTATTGTAATATGAATCTAATAACAAAATTATTCCAACATAATAAAGAGAAATCGATATTAGGGTTATTAAAAAGGCCAATAGAAGCTAAAACAATATTTTTTAGAAATGTTGTCTGTCTGTATATATGTTTGTCCCGTCATCACGTAAAACCGTGAAGCAGTTGTGTTTGCATGGCTGCGTTTCGGTTTGAAGGGTGGGATATGGCGTGAATTTACTGGGTACAGAGGAATAACACCTGAGTCCTCAGGAGTGGCAACGCATGGGGGTATCATGGGCGAAACAGTATACTCTGTTATGTCCATGGTACTGTTCATGTCTATAGGCGACGGTTACCACTTTCCATCAGGTGGACCGTCAGCTTGTTTGCCATGCAAAGTTGAATAAAAAAAATTTACTGCACCAAATTGGTTGCGACTTTTAGTTACTGAAGATCTGACTTTGAATCGTGTGTCCAGTTTTCCTAATTCTAAAATTTATGCTTACAAAGTAGTGAGGAAAAAGATAGTTCATTCTTTCATCCCTTTGACTAAACATATGAAATATTAAAAGTAAGTTCGCAGTAACATTTTCTTTTATTAACTACATAGTTGACCTGTACCTCACACTTTTTAAAAATAGGTCAAATAAAAAAAAATGACTTTCTAAACTGATGACTCGACAGATGTTGCCAAAATTATATTTTTACAGTTCCGTAGCTCCAAAGGAAAAACGAAACCCTTATAGGATCACTTCGTTGTCCATCTTGACCAAATACCTGGTACTTACCTGTGAAACCAAGACAAAATCGGACCAAAGTTCATAAGACATTATATCATAAGTCAGCATATGTTATCTCGCTTTTTTTTGTATATGTATGTTGTAATTTGTGTGCTGTAAGTAATGCAAATAAATTATCTATCTATCTATCTATCACGTAACATAGATATAGGCTTGAAAAATAATTAGGTTTCCGTTTTTAAAATCAATTGACAATTCAAAATTGATTTAATTCCATGTGTCATTAAAGATTATTAATTATTGTTATTACACCATCATTATCATTTCAGCCATTATCCATCCACTGTTTTACATAGGTCTCCTCCATAGACTACGATAAAGATACTGTTTTTTTTAAAAAGTAATCAATTACTTTTCTGATATACTGTACCATGGATTGGTTATTATGACCTGAAACACAAATAATTAAGATTATGTTCTATATATATATATAAAAAAAAAATACGACTCCAATTGCCACAAAACACGTTTTTTAAAATTAGACTATCGAACCAATTTTGATAAAATTTCTATGAAAGCAATCTATAAGTATATCCTTTTAGATAAAAAAAAATAATTTTTCATATCAATTATAACTAACGGAGTCATGTGGTAACAAACATAAAAAATAACCGAATTGTAAACCTCCTTCTTTTTGAAGTCGATTGAAAATATCTAATAGGTACTATTAAGAGCTTAGAAAGAGAGAGAGAGAGAGAGACAGAGAGAGCGATGCAGATACTCAAAGAATAATAATTATCAAAATTAATATACAATTACTTAAAATATAGTATAACTCGTATATATATATATATATATATAAATACATTTAAATTAAGAACTCTATTTTGAAACTACTTATCATAACATTTCAGTCTTGCTCTAAAAACACTGCTTATAAATACAATTAATATTCTTTTTTTTTAATCACCTAAACATTATAAATTGTATTTTGCTCAATTCATAGTTACTAAAGAGTTTTATTTTTAAAATGGATGATAATGGAATAGTAACCCCGCATGCGCTAACGGTATACGCTAGCGTGGCACCAGTGAGGGATGATAGGTGATAATGAAAAGGCAGGTCAGTTAACCTATCGTGATGGATTCACTTGGAATAGAACACGATAGTTTCCAGAGGGAACCGCGAGAAGGTCGACCTGATAGGGTGTATTGCTAACAATGGGGGTACTAATTCATATTTTTAACAATCTATTATAGCCCCAGTTACTAAAGAGTTGTAGATACATTTTGTCCAACGTGACAAACAAGTCGTTATTTTATCTTATAGAAAATGGCATTGGTGTGTTTAAAAATATTTTATAGAGGGGGAGGGGTCTTAAATAAGGCGAAATTTCGCTTTAATCCTGGGGTGGGCATCAGATAATTCTAGGGTGGACACGGCCCACTCAGCCCTCACTTAAATACGTCTCTATGGAAAGTGTTAATCATCGCTTATCAATATGAATAGTGTAAAGTATATACCTACTGTAACGCTCATGCTATCTCTTGAGGAGGGAGATATTATGGTTACGTACCCTGTAATTTCAATGTCATATCCTACCTTTCAAACCATAATAAAATCATACGAGTCCAGCTATAGATACAGTAAAGAAATACGAGTGGGACAGAACTTTTATAACTCTTTCTCTGGTAGCTTTTAGTGTTAAATAAAAAAAGCTATATCTAATCTTTATACATTAGATATCTAAGATACATTTGGACTTTTATAGGGTATACAGTAGACAAAGAAAACTAAGAGTCAAAAGCGAGCAAGAAGAGTCGAGTAATGAGCCTACCATCGTCTACAAATTGCTGTACATTGTGTAATTTGCTGTAGTCCATTTGTGTTGCTCTATTTTGGTACAAAATACAGAGATTACAGATTACCTATACCTTAGTTTGAAACAACTCATCAGAAGTATAGCTAAGACAATGGTATGTATGAACCTATAAGTATTATATAAAACTATATTATTCTATTGCTTTACTGTTATTAATATTGTAATATTATTTTAATTTTTTTTCTGAAAGAAAAATAACCAACATATACCTGTTAAGTAGATATAAAAAAGAAAAATATAATTTTGAGCTCCAACAGTAGATATAACACAGATTTATTAACGTTCTCATAAGTACAATGAACTCTACATTATAAATTATGAGACGACAAAACCTCATCTCGCATGTAGTTAAAGTCAATTCCCACTGAAATTTCATCATCGTCAATCTAACTTGGTTTAATAAGTAATACTTTCAGCGCTGTGGGCCGTCCCTGAGCTGAGGCCGGCTGGTCCAGAGAGATGCTGTGCGTCTCATCTCTCCGGCCATCCCTTACCCGCGCGCAGAACTCGTGGTCTCAAAGGGAAACCTCGCATGCGAACCGTCATTACCATAGTCCGCGCCGATAAATTCACACGTGTATAATCCAGTTCGGATTTTAAAAATTCTACCGTAATAATATAGAGAAACTTTAAAAATGGAATCTTTAAATTTTGAACTTGGAATATATTTAAAGATAATAGTAAGTGGCGCCACCTACGGCGTTGACGCCGTCCCGCTCTTGAGGCGAGGGCGTGTCCCTAGGGCGCCTCCCACAGTCCGCGGGGACGGACGGGGCTCGCCGAAGCCCGGGCACTCGGCGGCGCGCTCCCGCGACGCTTGTTAGTGTTCCGCAAATCCACAGCGGGATCGCCCGCACAACCGGGACTCGATCCCAGTACGCACATACGATAATACAGAGCCGCCTACCGGATAGTTATACAGATAGTTACGCCATAACTGAAGTTTCAATATCGGAATTTCATTTTATAACAGAACAAACTAAACTTTTAACTTTCATCAAACAGTGATACGAACATTGTAATTGTGTTAGAAGTTTTGTTTTTTTTATTTTTAATATGTTTATGATATTTTAACGGATGATGTATCGAACATAATAAGAATTGAAATAATTACTTTGACAGAGTAACGTCTAGAAATCTTCAATTTTGTGCGTTCTTGGTTCAAACGCGAATTGCAATTAAAACGTAACTTTTGAACTTCGCAATTTTCCGTTGGTGGTCGTGCGCTTTCGGGCGCCTGATTCCGGGTTCGCGTAGTGTTTCGAGATTCGGTCGGACGAGTTAAACGCGGCGGCGGGCGGGTACACGGGCTCGCCGTGGCCGCCGCTAGAACTAGACCCCGTGGGATGGGGTCGAAAGCTGTACCCATCGGGGGCACCGAGGTCTTCAGGTATGTATTCTTATAAAAATTATATAACTTTTTTGGGTATTTTTCCTAATGTTATTTACTTTTTACTAACAATTGATAAAAGTAATTACATACCTACGTTTTTATTATGCATTTAAATATTGTTGAGAGCCAAAATATATTTTTAAAATAATTTTATATTTATATTTCTAAACTGTAAAGTTGCTTGTTATAAGAAAAATGTACAAATAAACAATTATGTATCTCTTTTAAAATTAAAATGTTTGAAAAATAAATAAAGCAGATCCATTGTGATTTAAATATTCCTTTTAACGTAGATTTGGGTTTTACATTATACTAAGTCGCCTGTCTATCTACCATTAATGCAGTCACGTTAATGGATTCACATGATGGTGGTTAATATGGTTTTTTTTATACCACTGAGGTGGCAGACAAGCATACGGCCCACCTGATGGTAAGTGGTTACCGTAGCCAAAATTACTATTTTTACCATTTTATATCAAACTATATATATATATATATATATATATATATATATATATATATATATATATATATATATATGTAGTATAAATATGGGTAGATTACGAAAATACAAAATGACAAATATTTTTTTTAATGATATTTACGTCAAGTAATTTTACCATAGGGAGATTTTATACAAAAATAAATAAAAAAACCGTATAAATAAATTAGGTTCGGTTTGAGGGCATATGCAGAGGTACAATACCTTAGTTTTCAGAAACAGTGACGTATGAGAGGTCCCATGGTACTGTTGAAGTCTGTAGGTGACGGTCACCAATTTCCATAAGGTGGACAACCAGTTTGTCTGTTAGCGCTATCCAAGTTACGTATTACGTAAGTAAAAAACAGTAGTAAAGCTTAGTATCCTGGTACAGGTGGGCTCATGTTCGGCCTCCATCATCAGGAGGCTGCTGGTGGACTTCACGCGCAGCCTCGAGGACCCGTCACCTCTTTGAAAGAGGAGCCTCTGACGCGTGCGTGGATGACACCTACCTCACTAGTTGATAATACCAAGTAAGTATCAGATTGTACTTATTTTTATGTAGAATGCCAGAGAGATGCCGTGTGGTTCTGGCATAGAGTAGGGCTTCCTTTCCTTTCCCGGAGGTATTGTAAGAGCCGACTAAGGAAACTTAATAGTCGAGGGATGGGCAACAGCGTCCCTCTTAAAACATTTCCAAAAGCTAACTACGGTTGCTAACCTGCCTGCCAAAAATGGTAACTACTGGCAAAATCTCTCTTTATGGGGGAAGACCATGGGAGGCCACTGTTCAGCAGTGGACAGTTAACGGTTGATATGATGGCGATGCATATGGGATATTATGGGCGTCACAGTATAATCTATAATGTCGACGATTACCACCTTCCATCAGTTCGGTCGGTTATCTTAACAATTAAAATGAATCTTTTTATTGATATCATTACTTTTAAAGTATTTTTTTTAATAATTATAGGTACTTAAATTAGTTTTTGCGTAAATTATTAATATAATATAATTTTGTCAGTATTAAATGAATGAATATACATTATTTGCATTATACAATATAGGAAATAAGCAACACAATTAACAAATATAAGTATAACAAGTGTTAAACAGTTACCGACTTAACAGTTTTTATAAGTAAAAAATTAGAAAAAAATATAATCATATTCTCAGATATATTAGGTAGGTACTTAGGAAAATACATATACTACATATTTAAATATATTTATTTTTAATATAATGTATAATATTTATAAGTAAAATTTCCTTTTTACAACGTGACCGAATACCTACATGCTAATATTAAATTATGACATTATTATTTATTTGTGTTTAATTGTAATAAGTATGACAATTCCAATTTTATAACTTGAAGCCATCGTTATTGGTATAAAGTTCTCATTATATTGACATGTAGTAACTATTTTATAACGTTAACTATAATTAATTTGTAATATTATGTTTATTTTATAATTTAAATGTTTGTAATATTTATTTTATTAATTTCAAAATTATAATGTAAATATTGACTTGCCACTGTGTGACGAAAACTGTTACATTGGTTAATAAAGAAATATAATAATATATATAAGTATTATATTTTTGTTAAATTTAATAGTAGACTAAGGACGCTTATATACCTTAAATATTAGGTAAACATTTCTCCGTGGTTAAGTAAACCTTTTAGTGATCGAAAAGAGCAATACCCTAAATTTATTTTGGGCACAAAATTGCATTATGGCTTTACAAATATGAGCAAACCGAAACAAATGTCTGTACGGGGTGTGACGTTACCTAACTGGATCGGGTAGGATTAACAGGGGAGCCACTGGGCATCGTTGTTCATTTCTTTTCAATTTTAATAATAATAATTTTATGAACACTTTAAATATATATATATATATATATATATATATATATATATATATATAAATTTCTATTTTAACAAAAATAGAATGTCAGTTATATCACGAAATAAGTATATAATTGCTTTTGAAAGTTATATATTTTGAAAAGTAACTCTTAAAACGTTGATATTTTATTATATTAAAATAATAATTTGACTAATCACTCGTATTAATCTTTTATTGTCCTAGAGTTTCTACAGAAAATGTGATATATTATTTAAAAACAGTGTATGTATCTACCTATCACTTAAAAACATTCTAGAATCGTTTCATTAATTACTAATGTTATTTATATAAATACAAATAAAATATGAGTTAAATCAAGCTATGGCCTACCAGATCGTTAGTGGTCACCGTAGCCGACCCTGAAGAAACTTTTTTACCCTTTTTTGAAAAACCTCATAATGTAGTCTATTGGGGAAATCTCGCTTGTTGCATAACCTCACCGTTTGTATGAGGAAATATTTTTCAAACCGTTATGTACGCGATCATCCTGACTCTAAAGTATGGGGGCGATTTCTAAAATATGTGTGGATTTATATACCGTAGGCTCAAAAATAATTACATGACAAAATTCAATCGTGAAACCAATTTGTTTTTGGCTACAATTTATAGTTTCTATAATTATAAATGCTTAAACTAGGAAATAAGAAATGACGGTTTAAAAATATCATTTAATATTCAAAAATGTCTGCTAATTTACCTGTACCTATTTAAACTATGGACTTAAACGACGTTTACTCGGATAAATTTACTAAACTTCATCTCTATACTTATCTATTTATTATTGTTATTATCGCTCGAGTGCTTGGATGTGGTCAAGAATGACCTCTGACTACCCCTCTTCTAATGGTGTCTGTTATTTTTTTTAATTTACATTAAATTATTAAATAATAATGATTGTAATTGATACACACAATTTATTTTATTAATTTACTTATTTTTTTTTTGTTAAGAAAAATTGCGATTGGTTCTGGCTATAACAGAATATTAGTGTTTTGCTCTTTTGAGGGCAAAGCAATAAACTGAGTTGTGACCATTTTATGTTATTGTGGCACACGCACGAAAGGAAAAATTATGTTACTTTTTTTATGTATATTACTTTTTTTTGTATATGTATTCTTTCATCTTTTTTGTATGTATCTATGTCGGTTGTCATTTATGTACTGTAAGTAATATAAATAAATTATATATCTATTCAACAATCTGTTATAAGTAGGCATTTTATGTCCTGAAATAAAATATAAATAGTTAATAATTTTTCATAAGTTATAACAATAAAATTTACTAAATAAATAAATGTACATTTTTTTCAATACATCAATTTCCAGAGAATAACATATTTTATTACCCCTTAAAAATATACAAAATATTTAATAGAATTCAATATTTTTTTATTATATTTAAAAAAAAATTCTAGATATATTGCATATACTCATAAATTATATTAACAATATTTCTAATATAATTGGCTAATGTTGTAATGGTTTTCAATTAAAAACGTCTAAATTTATAGCTTTGCATTTGTAATCTATAGGTAGTATTGGGAAGTTTTCCCGTAAATATGTCATATTGGCGTATTGGAAGCAGTGTATTTTATTGCTATTTATGTACAAACTAGATACTGCACAATGCGTTCATTATCGTCGAGTATCCAATCAGGGGCGGGCGTATATCGCACGGGCGATAATCAACCGCGTCGTAACAAGTGTGTATTCATAAACGCGAAGGGCGCGATAAATCATAGCGCTCGGTGCGGTAGCGGCGTGTTGTGGTACTACCGCAGTTTTGTTTGTCTGACTGTACCTTGTTACACATTAAAAAAGGATGTATGATGTTTCAAGTTAAATATTTTATTTTCAACATGTCAAGTATTAACTATATAGTTGAAGGTAGGTAATAATTTATTTATTTATTTAACTTCATGATTGTATACAACTAAATTATCTGTTGTAACTTGTAAGTTTAACTAAAAAGAATAATAATTATAGATAGGTTACTAAACTATTAGTTTTTTTTTTATGTCAGATATTGACATTACTATTTATTTATTCAATAAAATAATAATTATTATAATAATAGATAACAGAAAGCATGAAACTATATTTTTTTAATTGGTGAAAATGAAATAGTAACCTTGCTTGCGCTTTTAGCATACACTGGTGAGACGCCAATAAAAGATGTTGAGTGAAGATGAAAGGAGGTCAGTTAGCGCATCATGATAAATTCCACAAAAGTTAATCATAACGGTTTTCAGGGGAGACCGCGTAAAGGTCGACCTGATCGGGTATATTGTTAGCAGTGGAGCTGTTACTAACATTCTTACAAACCACTATATTAAATATGAATAAATTCATAATGTAAAATTGACAAAATGTAGTATTAGGTTGCAGTAACTGTTTACCATTAGACGGGCTGTATGTGAATTTTGAGTGAGACCTTTCTCTTTTCATTTAAGAGTTTCCTCTTGTCGGTGCAACTAATCCATTCATCTTCTATCAGCCAGCTCTATCCCAGGCCATATCCTTGATCTCCCTATACGACATGACACCTAGTGTGTCTTTTATCTGTCCCATGTAGTTATTCCTCGGTCTTCCTCTTCCTCTTTTGCCCTCTATTTTTCCTTCTACTATGCTCTTTAAAAAATAGTCATGTCGTATAAGGTGGCCCAGCATTTTGCCTCTTCTATTCTCTATTATTTTAATTAATGTTCTTTTCTCGTTCACTCTTTTCAGGACTTCCTCATTCGTGAGTTTTTCTGTCCAGCTTATCCTTTTCATTCTCCTCCATGTCCACATTTCGAATGCCTCAAGCATCTTTCTTTCCTTCTGCGTCATTGTCCATGTTTCACACCCATATAATGCTATGCTCGAAATATAAGTTTTTATAAATTTCTTATAAATATTAGAAATATTAAGTAATTACCCTATTTTTAATTAAGTGTTGTTTGTATCTTTTGGCGGCTCAAGTAATTTCGTATTTTTTCACAGTTCATCTACGAGTATATCTATATCAGTCGGACGCAATTGCAAATAAAAAAATATTTACAATTTTTTTTGTTTTATTTTGCATATATTATATTATGTTCGCTGAACGTACAAATTGAACATAGGCCTCCCTCTTGAGGGGATTTTCCAGTAGTCGTAGTTGCCACGCTTGGCAGGCAGGTTAGCAAGTTAATTAGGCCTTTGGTGATGTTTAAAGAAAGATGCTCATTCCTCGACCATTAAGTTCCCTTAAACGCCTCTTACGACACCCACAGGAAAAGAAGGGGTGGTCCATTCTATGCCGGGACCACACGGCACAATTATATTGTTTAATGAATCGGTATAATGTATGTTTATAAGTATTTGTATTATCTACACATATATAAAACACTAGACTATCTTAATATATCTTTTTGCAATATGAAAAATGTACCATACTTATGTAGACACAGATTAAAGTTGTTAAATAAACTAAAACATTTGGTATATTTATAATACTAACAATTTACGATGATATACTTGAATTAGAACGTATTGTGTTTGCGGAGAGCCCTCCCGACATCTGTCATGTTTTACTGAGTTTTGCTTCGACAATGTTGACGTTGCCGGTTGCGTTTACTTGAGCTGGGATGATGG